ATTCCCTGGAGCCAGGCTCGTGTCCCCTCCCGAGCCGCCAGTACCAGCCAGGAGGGACACGGGTCCAATAAACATGTGGTTGCATTCAGTCCCCCCAGGATCCTGTCCACGTCCTCGGGAGCCACAGAGTCAAACTCCTCCCATACAACAGTCTCAAGGCCTGCCATTGCCTCCTCCCCCGGGACCACCCAGTCGGAGTTCATCCATTAAATGATGAGCTACATAATTAAGGAACAGCTGTATAATATTGGTAAGACACCAGATATATTACTATGAGGACTGATATGCTGGTGAAATGCCTCAAATACAAAGCAATTGGACAATTTCCATTGGAGGCAGCATAGTTGAGGCACTATTATCTCTTTAATCCATAGGTATAACGTCATATCTGATGTACAAAAATTCCCTTAAAATTGCTCTATGGTCAACTAAAGAACTTGGAAATTCTTGTATCATAAAACTACAAATATGGATTGCATTTATTTTTCCCACTATGGCACAGCGTAAAACTGTTTCAGCTAGTCTTAGGATCAGACATTTCAAGACAGCTTGATGTTAACTGGGCTCAATTACTGTTTTTCTTCTGATGAGCCTCTCAACATACAATAGGAGTTAGAAGTTGTTGCTTTTTGTCTGAGCCCATGGGCTGTCAAGGAAAAACTGATTGAATTCTCAGACTAAGATATTCAAGATCTCAAGCACATTCCAACAGAGCTTCTTGGGCAATATCAGAACATAGGCAATTTTTTATTTGTACTATCCATTTGGAGCACTGCAATATTATACATATCTTCCTTTTTGAAATGTGCTTGCAACTAATCCTCACTTAACAACTATCTTGTTTAGCAAAGTTACAAAACACTGAAAAAAGTAACCTTATGATTGATTCTCACACTTACAACCATTGTAAGATTGGGGTTTTTCGCAGCCAGCTTACAACAAGCAGAGTTAATGGCAGGAAAATTGCAAATAGTGCTCATGTGATGTCTCACTTAATGACTACAGATGATTTATTTAACTACTATAGTGCGAGTGAGGCCATAAGTATGCTGTGCTCATGTGAAGTCACATTGTGTCACATAGCAATGGAATTGCCAATCCCAGTTATGGTCGTTAAATGAGGACTACTGGTATTCTTTCCTTTCCGTTACATTTTCTCCTCCAGTATTGGCTGAGTACAATCTGGATATGGAAGCTATTTTATGGGTGCACTTCCATCCCCAGTATAATTAAAGTACAGGATTAGTTGTTGTATAATTTATTTATGCCAATAAGACTTCTAAAAAATAGTACTGATTCTAGACTCTCATTCTCATGACAAATTGGGGAAACAGAATAATGTAGATACATTAGATAGGAAATGTTAGTAAGTTAGTTAGTATATGCCATATACAGAAATCCTCATCTAGCAACTGCGTCATTTAGCAGCCATTCAGTTACAACTGGGATGAAAAAGTAACTTGGTAACTAATCATCACATTTATGACTTTTACAGATTTGTAAAACAAAGAAAAGCTGACGCAAGTTCATGAGCACAGTTGCTGTTTTGCTTAGGGACTGAATTGTCAATCTCAATTGTGGTTACTAAATGAGGACTTCCTATAGTTCTTTTAAACAAATTTCCTCTTGCCAAATAGATTCCATGGGTTAATACAGGAGACCCTTCTTCCAGCAAACCTTACCATGCTGATATTCTCCTTGCTGCCATGCTTTGAATCCTGAGTGCCTGCAGGTTCTGTAACAATATCGTTTTTCTTTTTGTCTAAAATCACTTGACTTCCCAGCACTTTACGCTGCATTTGGAAAAGAAAATTATTTTGAACTGTGATAGGGAGCAGGAAAGTAATGGAACAATATTTATTCATGGAAATTTCCAGCATAATGGGAGGTAAGTTTCTCTGGGTGAAACGTCAGTGAGTTTTTCCCTTTATTTTCCGCAGAGATGTTTCGACTCTGGATCCCACATTTGGTCAAGCAATAGGATTCCTTTGTGCAGGAAGATGAAAGGTCTTATACTGCCTCTCTACACCACGGAAGATTTATTAAAATAAAGTCCTATTACTTCTGATGAAGAAGTGGAAGGCATGGGAAAAGAAGACATGATAAAATGAGATGGAAGAAAATATTTTCAACTTTCATAAGTGACCTTAATGCAGCAGCATCTAGGGCAGGCGTGTCCAAGCTGTGCCCCACAAGCTGTGCATGCAACCTTGGATAGCTAGTAATGCAGCCCCATAAGATTGTAAACTTTTAAAGCAGTGGTTCTCAACCTTTTTAATGCCGCAACCCCAACCGGTCGTAAGTCGAGGACTAAAGCGGTCGTAAGTCGAGGACTAAAGCGGTCGTAAGTCGAGGACTAAAGCGGTCGTAAGTCGAGGACTACCCAACCGGTCGTAAGTCGAGGACTTTCCCTGCCTGGGAGCGCCGCGCATGCATGGTTCCGCCCCCTGCGCCGGCCGAGGCGTAGCTGGCAAGCGGCAGAGACGGAGCAGGCCGACCACCAGCTGGCCTAGCTCAAGGGAGGTAAGGCACCCGCCGGAAAAGGGGAAAAAAATGGCGGACAGCCTTGCTTGGCGACCCCGGTGAAATGGTCGATCGACCCCAAATGGGGTCGCGACCCATAGGTTGAGAACCGCTGTTTTAAAGGAAGTTTGTTCTTTATATACATTGACTGGATTATATATTGTATGCAGCCCAAGATAATTGCTCTTCACTCAATATGGGCCAAGCAAGCTCCATAATGTTGGACACCCATGATCTAAGGCAGCGGCTCCCAACCTTTTCTATACCCCGCGCCCCTAGAACGCTTCTGATATAGTCTCACACCCCTTACAAAAGTTTGAAACCACAGCAACGAATTATGCAAACACACTACAATTTTGAAAGCCCAGGTTTTCGCACTCCCTGGAATATCGTCTCGCACCCCGAGAGCACTCCTGGTTGGGAACCCCTGATCTAAGGTAACCAAGACACATCTCATGCAATGCCTTCCTTTACGTCAGGACATTTTGGTGACAGTAGAGTGGATTTTACCTTGATTAGGCCGCTGAAGGAACGAGTTCGGGCACGTTTCTGAATCTGTGTGGATATAGCTGTCTGAGGAGTGAGGGCTTCAGGGTGCTTCTGAAACTAGAAGAACAAAACCTAATAGCACAGTTCATTCCACGGTGGTGTCCATGCCAAAGCCCAGTTCTACTTTCCACTCGCGCCTTTTTGCCCCAACACCTACTTTTACAAAGGTTCCCATGCTTTAATCTCTCTCATGGAGACAAAGATATCTAAAGATTGCTTTTTCCCACACGTTACCTTGAGCCTGAAATATTCCTTTTGAAGTCTGCTGCCAAGAGGACTTAAGATAAATAACTGCCAGATAGCTTTCTGCATGGATGTAAAGTTGCTGTGAAATGCCTTTCTTAGGAGACTCATCCTATAGCAGTGATGGCGAACCTTTTAGAGACTGAGTGCCCAAAAACCGCCTCGCCCCCTGCCCTGTCCTTGCGTCTCCTGCCTGCAGGGCCACTCATCACCTCCAAGGCCCACCACAGATCGGCCAAGCGGCCCAGCAGCGTCATGACGGCCACGCCTTCTGTCCACGCCCCGCAGCATCATCTGTACGCAATGAGGCACGAGAACGGAGTCTTATCCCCACTGACCAGCTGCCATGTCCTTGGCTGCGCTGCTCTGCACAGGTTGCGCCTGGGGCAACTCTCCTCTGGGGGGGGGGCTGCTGGTGAGGAGGGGGCCACGAGGGGTGGCGGGGCTGGGGCGACAGCGTGCATGCGTACCCACCCACAGAGAGGGCTCTGAGTGCCACCTCTGGCACCCGTGCCATAGGTTCGCCACCACTGTCCTATAGGATCAATCTGATATTAGATGCCTTCAGGTCTTTTAATAAAGCTGTGATCTTTATTATTTGGAATCAGCATACAATATAGCCTATACCAGGGGTAGGCAACCTTGGCTCTTTTATGACCCGTGGACTTCAACTCCCAGAATTCCTGAGCCAGCATGGCTGGCTCAGGAATTCTGGGAGTTGAAGTCCACGGGTCATAAAAGAGCCAAGGTTGCCTACCCCTGGCCTATACCTATATTATTGTAAAACTGTTTTTATGGCGCTCTCTCTTTCCTGGGAACATTCTGTTGCATTTGCTCTTTCATGATATGGTGCGTTACCATTATTTTTATTTTGTGAGATGAGCCATAGTCTAAATATCAATATCAAAAATAATCATACCTGCTGAATAAGCTTCTTTTTCTTGGCGGAATCTGGCATATTATGAACATGGCAGAAAAGCTCTTTCAGTGCTTCTTCTGTATGGTGCTGTGTGTCTTTCAAGTGGGCAGAAGGGTCTAAGAGCCCTCGCTTCTTGAATTTCAGAAGCTGAACGTCTTTGAAATTCTGGGGCATTGGCAAATCCAGGTCATCCTTTGGAAATTCAAGCAGGCCATTAGGCTGTTGGCTCTAACTAGCTTGATTCTATAAAGCTGGTTAATATTCCAGTGAAAATCGTCCATGAGAATATTTCCAATTTGAACCTTAGATTCAGTAATAGAACAATATCTGCCTGTCCCGTCTGGGGCCTGATCCTCCTTTCTCCTCTGTTCAAATATTGTGCGTTGTAACTAAATTCTCTAAAATGGACTCATTTGGTTGACAGTTGAATAAAAAGTTGTGCAATTTTCCAGAACCTTTTTCCAAGCCCATGAATGGGGAATATATTTGTTATTCCAAAATCTCCAGAATGGTTCTCAGCATATGGCCATCCCTCGCTCACCCCCGTAACTCCAGCACACCTATCATAGACCTGCCATTGTTTATTTAGGCCAAGGTCTGAAATCCATAAATATTTATTAAATTTATATTTTGTCTTTGTTTTGTACAACTCCAGGCACTGTACATAATGCTTCCTCCTCCTATTTTCTCAGAATGATCTACGAGGTTGGTTGCGCTGAGGACTTATGACTGGCCCAAAATCACCCAGCCGGCCTTCATGGCTGGATAATACAATACATGCTATCCTGGTTTCTAGTGAAGCACCTTAACCATTACACCAAATTGGCTCAAATCCAGAAAGGTTGTCTAGGTCAGGGCTTTTCAACCTTTTCACCCATTGTACCACTTTTAGGATATGGCAATATCCAAGTACCACCAGTTGCCTAGCAAAGTGTCAAAAACTTGATGACCCAAAAGTGATAAAGTACAGGTAGTCCTCGACTTACAACAGTTCACTTAGTGACTGTTCAAAGTTACAATGGCACTGAAACAAGTGCCCCCCAAGCCACAGCCGAGCAAGACACCTGCCTGCCCGCCCGGCCGCGCTCTTCCTCCTGTCCGAGGTTTTCATTGTTGTGAGCATTTCTGTTGAGGATTGGCAGCGGGGGTGGGGTGGGGGGGGTGTTTGGTTTTTATTCCCCCCCTGTCTGCTGGGTGGTTGCAGCAGGTTTTGGTCACTTCACATGACCCTGAGGCACATGAATCAGTTGCCAAGCATCTGAATGTAAATCACAAGACCCTGGAGATGCTGCAACATTCCAGCTGATTGGCGCTTCTTCAGGGCTCAGCAGAAGCACGAGGGTCAGTGCCGAGCTCCAGCTGGAGTCTGACGCTGATCCAGGTGCTTCCGCTGAGCCCTGACAGCCCTGCAGCTCCAGCCATCTCTCACTCAGGCTTGTGCAGTGCTGCCACCGGTTCAGCTCATTCCCCTCCCCCGCTACCACTTTTCTAGGATGGTCGTGTACCACCTGCCAGGTGCCAATGTACCACAGGTGGTACCCTGGTTGAAAAGCCCTGGTCTAGGCTGTCATACAGTATATGGATGATAGCTGTCATGTGTATATTGGATCTCTCATATTTAATCTAG